TTAGGTTCTAGCTAGTAATTATGTTTCTGATGCAAATTGGCAATAAAAAAGAATCTATGCTTGATTAAATTTGTCTTAAGAGGATTATTTAGAACCAGAATTTTTTTGCTTTGTTTTTAAAATTTACCTATTTCTCTCTCCAGTAAAGCCATCAGATAAATGTCATGGGAAGCTGAGAAACTGGAGGGCAGGGCCTTGAATAATTTGGGATTTGCTAACCTTCAACATCTTTTATCTTTAAAATTCTATGATTTTTGCTATTTATATAGGGATTAATTTTCTCATCATTTCTAATAGTGATCATAATGCTGAAACTAACAAAACTTTGCATCTGCAGAGCTTTCTTCATCTAAAAATTTTTTATACTTACAATTTTAATATTTTAAAAAGCTGTTAAGAGCTAATCTAATGCTCAGAGTATTTTAGGGTAGTGAGACTATTCTGTATGTAATGGTGGATACATGTCACTATGCATATGTCAGAACCCATAGAACTGTACAACAGAGTGAACCTTAAACTAGGGACTATAGTCAATAATAATATATCAATATTATTTATTAATTATAACAAATGTACCACCAATTAAAAAGCTGTTAAGAGCTAATCTAATGCTCAGAGTATTTTAGGGTAGTGAGACTATTCTGTATGTAATGGTGGATACATGTCACTATGCATATGTCAGAACCCATAGAACTGTACAACAGAGTGAACCTTAAACTAGGGACTATAGTCAATAATAATATATCAATATTATTTATTAATTATAACAAATGTACCACATTGATGCAAAGTATTAATAATGGGAAACTAGGGGTGGGGGAAGAGTGAGGAGAGGGCAGTGGGGTGGGTGTATGGGCTCTATCTGCTCAATTATTCTGTAAATCTAAAACTGTACTTAAAAAAGGTCTTAATTATTTTTTGAAGTATTATTAAAAAGTACTAAAAACTAATCTAATGCTTCAGGGCATTTATTATGTGCAAAGGGCAAGGAAAGAAGTTGAAATGGTTTAAACTCTCAACCTTGTGAGATTTTGAACTGTAGTGTTTCTGAAGCCGTAGACACGGGTGGGAAATAGAATTTGAGACTTCTGAATGAAATAAAGCTGAAGGAAGACCTGATCAGACCTGATCGATTTTTAGGACAAATTGCTAAGTTGGCGAATTCACTTTTATTTTTATTTTTAGCAATCTTACACTTTTCTATGAAAGCCTGCTTCTATCCCTCTGCATCTTATATTTCTTTCTCCCGTCTCTCGCCACTTCTAACCTGTTGTTGTTTCTATATCCCTTCCTTACTCTCCCTCTCTCCTGTTTTTTTCTTTATCTTTGCCTTTATTTCTCCTCTAACACATCAGACTTGCTAGTCTTTGTTTAGTTCCACTGAAAGAACTCAGCAAGAAATAATTGATCAATGTTCTTGGGGAGAATTTTCTCTATTTCAGTTACTTTTCTACCCTCAATCTGAATCAGGAAAATTTCTTGAACATTGAACCAATTTTTTTATACATTTTTTTTTCTTTTTGAATCCAAATTTCAGAATTCCTAGTCATATAGGAAAAAATCCTGAAGAAGCTTCACTTGAGTTTGAGCCCCTACGGCTATAAAGGGGGATCCTTATTTTGGAGATCGGGCCTGAGGAGAAGCCCTCCGGAGAGAGGAATCCCTGCTACACCCCACTTTGTACCTAGGACTGACTTCTCATAAAGCAATGGTGCTCGAAATGGTGCATGTATTAGAATCATTTGGACGTCTATAACAGCACGAAATGCTGAGCCCGTTCCAGAGTTTAGATTCAGTAGGATGGGGTGGTGGGCCCAAGAATTTGCATCTCTAACACGTTCCCAGATGATGCCGTTGATCAGCCACACTCTGAGAATGACTGGTATAGAAACCCCAGATATTAACCGATGCTTTACTTGAGCAGACAACCAAAAGTATTGAAATTGTAATAGAGACCCCCTGATACCTTGACTGTATCAGCATTTGGATCTAGAAGCTCTAGAACTGCTAGAAATGTGCAGCCCAAGGAGCTAAAGTAAACATTGCTCTGATTTCTAGCTCTGTGAATCTCCTGAGGATCCCCATATCCCTTTGTTTCCCTTGACCCCTGCTTAGCTGGGAAAGAGGGCTAACAAGAAAACCAGCTTTGAGTACTGAATCCTCAGTCGACTGAGATATTTTTAAATAAGGTTTTCTTTGACAGGCTAGCCTACTTTCTTTTATGTGCATGATTGGAAATGAATTATTAGTGACAATTGTGACCATTTACTGAGCACCTAGTATGTCCCAAGCCCTTTACATACTTTTATTGCTCTACTTCTCAGAACCCTATACACACTGGTGTGTTTTCTGTTTCTAGTCCAGTATATTCCTGTAAGGACTCCCCAGAGCACACTTACATTTGACTTCATCATGCAATCTATCATTTATTTGGCAGTAGATTAAAATTACGTGAGAAATGTGAACAGGTCTTGAACCCTGGCAGGAGAATGTCTAAAGTCTAGTCAGGACAAATGCCTTCATGTTTTTGAGAAGTTTCCAGGGACAAAAACTCTACAATCTCCAGAAACCAGTTCTGTTGTTTTTTTAATATCTAATCAATGGTATGTATTAATTTATGGCTGTCTTCTGTATATATATCATATATAATACAATTTTTCTTCGTGTTTAGTTAAAATAATTTTCATTTTAAATCTACTTTTAAAATTTAGCCTTCTGTGAACTTCCCATGAAGACGGTAATTGTCTCCTGTTAGCATTTTCCTCTTCAGTTTAAATAACCTCAGTTTCTTTACTGCATAAACTTTGTGCTTTTTTTCCCTCCAGTTCTTCTCTAGGTTCAATGTATTAGGCAGTACAGTGGAAATATTACTTAGGAGGTCCCATTTGGTATAGCATAATTTTTGTAGTATATTCAATGTGAGTCAAATCTACATTAGATTTGTTTAGTCTAATGTAGAATCTGAACCTTCCCTTCCTCCTCTCTGCCCTCTCTCCCTCTCTCCCTTTCTTCCTCCCTTCATTCTCTCCTTCCTTCCATCCCTTTTCCCTCCCCTTCCCATTTTGTCTATTTTTTTGGGTGGGGGGAGGGGAGCAATTACCATGTTCCTGGCATTGTGAACTTTTAATATCAGTTTATTGAATCCCTACAATGACTCTACATGGTAAGTGTTATTCTCATTTTACAAGTGTAGAAACTGAGACCTGAAGACATTAAATAAACTACCCAAGATTACACAGCTAATAAGAATAGGAAAGCCGGGATTTGGAACTAGGGTTGTCTGACTGCAAAACTCTTTTTCTAGCTGCTGTGTTTTCCAATTAATGCATCCAATGACTGCATCCTAGCATCAATTTGATTTTTAAATTGTATATGTAGTCAATTGTATAAAAGTTTAATAGAAACATCTATTAATAGCTACAACAAATACCAATTTCTTTAAGCACCGACTAAACTCTCTGGTTTCTTACCATCCTCTTTGTGGAACTAAAATACCATTTTGTATGTACACTTTTGGGAATTTTACTTTTCTAGCTTATAATTCCTTTTAGTCATATAGCTCCTTTTATTGAAATTCTCCAGCTGCTTTTCCTGATGGGGATCTGCAGTTTCAGTAAATTAACATACTATTTCCTCACTAGCTCTTCTTCTACCCATGATCCTGTGGATTACTTACAGCTTTTTTTACTACAAAATGCTATATTCGAATATGTTATTTTTCCTTTTTAAATTATTTCTTTGACACGTGTTCCTGTAAGTCAAAGGATATAATCATCTGTAGTGTGGATTGTCAAGTGACTTTGGAGACAGCTCCTACCATTTTATGGTGACACCAACAGTGTTAGTAACATCTAATAAAAACCTAACTGGTAATTGCTTAACTTGTATTTTTTAAATTATTAGTGAAATTGATCTCTCTTCAAGTATTTATTATGTTTTCTGGAGTAAATTTTCCATTCATGACCTTAAACCATTTGTTATTTGAGCCTTTCCAAATTCCCGTTAGCTACCTACATATATGGGGGGTAAAAACTTTATAGATTATCTATTGCTATTATTTTCCAATTGTGTTATGTATTTATTTATTTAAAATTATTTATTTGGCAGATATTTATAATTGTCGAGCAATCAACTCTATTCCCCTAGAGCTCCACACTTCATTCAGTTCTCTGCTCAAATCAGATCTCTGCCCTTCTTCAGAAAGGCCGTTCCTGACCACTTATATAAAATCTCTCTCCTCCTCCTTCAGATCACTCTCTATTCTGTTACTTTATTTTTGTTTTCATCACAGCACATTCTAGCTCACATGATATGTTTTATTATCTATAGCCTCCACTAGAATAATCAAACACTCCATGAGATAGGGACTTGATAATTTTTACCGCTGTGTCCCCAACACTTAACATAGAAGGTGCTCATTAATATTACTGAATGGATGAATTAAACTTTGCCATTGAAAATTTCTTTGGTTTCTTTTTAGGGGTTACACCGGAATGATCAAATTAACTTTTATCTTTATAATATTACAGTGCTCTCTCACATTCATCTTGCAATTGAATATTAAAATTATGAAAATAGTTTTTTCAGATTATTATTTATATTATTATTTTAGTTATTAGTTGGAAATATAGAAAAGTGTAAAGGATATGTAGAGGAGAAAATATAGAGAAATATAAAGATAAAAGAAAAAGTACTCATCATCACTCAGAGATCGAGTACCCTAACTCCCAAAATGTGGACTCAATGATTCTATTCTATTTTCTTCAGCACACACAGTTGACACCAGGCACACAGCCTAGAATGCCAAATGAATGGTGTGAGTGTGAAAATAAAAAGCAGACTAGATTGAACCAAATGTGGATAATTAAGAGTTGACTGTATCATCATTTGATTACATTGTATCTAGTCTGAGAATCTTTTAACAACAAATGCTCAAGTAGCGGGGAGTTTAAAGCAGACTCTTATTTACATTACTTCACATCTTCATCCCTCGCATTCCCCTACCTCACATACCTGGATTCTTCAGCCTTGAGACCGGTGCTCTTAAAATCATTTGTCCTTATTTCAGAGGTTCTAGCACTCATCTCTGTGAATGTTTTTGTCTCATTTTCTTCTGGAGTCAAGGTCGTATGAAAACATTTTTCACCTTCAAAAGTCAGTGTGATGTTTGAGATGGTGACGTGTTTTGAACATTCTTTTAAGTCACTCTTACTTTTTGTATCTCGCAGACACCCAGGCTTCAGAATATTTTTTTTTTCCTTTGAAAATAATAAGAGCAGCAATCAGGTAACAGAAGAGCATCACACAGAAATAGATTATTTATGGAGCAGTATGTAAAACAGTAATCATTTTATTCATATTTACTGAGTACCCTTGAACACACAGATAGGATAATGAGGGAATGAGGCTTGGTATTTTATGGCCATTGAGGAGGCCAGGAGGGTGTTAGAGGCTGGCAGTGTGGAGACCTGATACAGCACATTCAAAAGCTCATGTGGTCATGTACATGAAAATATACCTCACACAAGAAAATTAGTGCTTAATTACAGCATTTCCTTTCTCTGAGCTGTCAGGGAAAGAAAGGTTTTCTAGAAATGCCTTGCCACCTACTCCCCATTCGGAGGTTGTTCTTGATTTAAGAGTGTCTAATAGGTGAGAGGAGTTGGAAGTTTATATAATACTAAAGAGTTTGTTTTTCAAAAGACTCAGAACCTATATTTAAAGCCTATACCTATTCTATAATCTCTCCCATTCTTCTAATTTCCCAGTTTCTGTTAATGCGCCATCTCTCCTAGTAGCTCACTGCCTTCCTCAGAATCTCTCTCAGGCCTCGGAGCAATTGGTTAGCAATTGGTTAGCTGGATATTAGACTCTCTAATATCCCCCTGCGTCTACACCTAACTAGTCCACTAAACTAGTCCATCACCTCTGTTACCTTTCCTTGCAAATAATTCAATAATTTTCTTCCTTAAAAATAAAACTTCATTTTGTCTGACAATGAAAGTAATGCATATTTATTATAGAATACTTTTTAAAATTCTATAAGATATAAAGTGAAAGGAAGAAAATTATTGCTTGCTTGATGCCATTGGCCAGAAATAACTACTCCTATGGCACATTTCATTTGGTCTTTTTGTCCATTTATTTATTTTGTGCCTGCTTTGTGATCATATTTCTGTTTCATATCCTACATTTTCACTTAACAATTTATTATAACATTTTTTCATGCCACTAAAAATTAAGTTATTCAAGTTAAAAATGAATGATTTTAATTGTAGGAAACAAAATTTAGAAAAGTGAATGAACCTAGAAGAATTCCAAGTTGGCCACATCTTTACTAACATTTACTGTTTTTATTTTTTTAAATTAACATTTTATAGGTTAAATTTTTTCCTAAGTTTACATTTCTTTGATTACTAGTGAGGTTAAACTTTTTCTCCTGTATTTACTGGAAGTTTCTTCTGTGAAATGTCTATCCTTGCCCTTTGCCTTTTTTTTTAATTTTTTTATTGTAGGCCCCAGAGAGGTTTTCATCAGTAGTCTTCAAACTGATGTCTTTATCTACAATCCATTCACCATCAGATTGATCTTTTACAAACATGGCTCTTTTACACCCTTACAGAAAGGGCTATTATGGCTAAGGTTTACTCAAAGAGTGAAGTCCACACCTCTTATTTTGGCATTTGAGGTTTGCAAACACCTTTTCAATTCTATATCCTAATATTTTCCACATATATTATGCTCCAGCCAAACTGAACTAACCATTCTTGTATGTGGCTCTGCCTTTTTTTCTACTTTCTGGCCTTTTCTATAACTATTCATTTTTTTTTTTGGTATTTTATTTTCCTATTTCCACCTTCACTTTTACCTCTCAAAGTTTTATCCCATCCTTCAATGTACCATGTACTTTTAAATACATTTAAACCTTAAAATAGCCCTTACATGATAGTAATGTCCTCATTTTAGAGATGAGGAAACAAGCTCACGCGGGTTCCGTGACTTGGCCAAACTCCTGAGCAGCAGGGCAAGATTCCAACCCAGGTCTTCTGACTCTGATCCCAAAGTTCTTTTCATCCCACCACAGCTTTCTGATACCAAGTATGGTGGTCAAGGTGGTCACTGCCTATTTCAGGAGACACCTGACAACGCCTTCACTCCAGGGTTCAGGGATCAGATCTCGTTATTAAAATTAGGTTACTCAGAGTAAGTTCCATAGCATTTTGATAATCAATGTCAGATAGCTTAACCAAGAAGAGTTATCTTGGTTATAACTCTTGTTCTGGATTATTAAAGAATGAAAATATTCTATGTCACATACCTTTTCCTCTTGCTTGGCTCTTAGTATATCATCATTTTCAAACACTACTTTGACCCCCGAACTGGTTGTGACGTCACAGAAGTCTGTGACTTCTGTGACTTCTGTAAAAATACTTATATCTGGCGCCTCAGTGGCCTCATTTTCTGGAACATCTGTGACGTCGGTGATATCAGTGATGTCTGTTAATTCTGAGAAATCAGTGCTTTCTATGGCATGTGTGGTGTCCAAACACGTGTCCACATGAGGGTCCTGTACAGCAGTGAACGCTGCAATATCCATGATGTCCCCTGAGCCTGTGATGTCTGTGCTATTTGTGATTTCTGAGAGGCTTGAGACTTCTGACACCTTGGAAGCTTTGGCTTTCTCCTGATTCAAGAGGGAGATGAGTTCCACCCACTGCGAAAATAAGATGTCCTGTTTGGATGCGGGGGCACAGAGCTGTAGGTAGTAGGCTCGGCCACTCACAAGCTTTACTTTGAGGCGCATGTTCTCAGCATTGTGCACGGAAAGAGTCACAAACTGCAGAGGGAGAAACCTGCAAACGAAGGCAGAGATCATCTGGAGGCCTGATTGGAAACCTATCAAAAGGCCTTTCCTTTTATGTTTTTAGCAGTTTGCAGAGTGAGACCTAGGTTAACAGGCTTGTCTCCCACACAGGCCTGGTAGGCGCAGGAATGGGGTAGTACCTTCTTGTGGCCACCATGTTCCCTGGTCCGGTCCTTAGCTTATGCAGCTCAGAACTTTAATTTTCAGTACATGTAATCGGGCTCCTGGGGGCCATCTCACCTGAATTATACTCCTAAGACTCTGATGTACTAAAAAATCAGAGTATCAACTATTAACCATGAGAAGTTATCCTATTTAATCCTGAAAAGTTGAGACTTAGAGAAGTTGAGTGATTTGCTCTAGATCACATAGCAAGTTGATGACTTGAGATAAGATCAGAGCTAATTCTGATGGGAGTTGGGATGTTGCGGGGAAAGGGGCATGTTCTAGAGAGGCCGTTTGTGTCTTCAGTTCCTGTTACATAAGTTTAATTTTTTAAAAAATTAACCTCCTGTTTGACTGCAAGGTTATCATAAACTATTTTCCCAGACTCTGAGGACACGACTCTCTCATTTGCAGCAGGGAGTGAAAGTGAGGTGCTCCCTTGGAGCAATTGTCATCAGTGTGTCTGTTTTCAGCTCCTCAGGGGTAAAGCACATTTTCTGAGAGATCCTGAACCTGTTCCCTTTGTAACTCACCTGGTGAGCACCAGTTTCTCTGGAGAAGGAGATATCAGGAGACTTTTAAACAGGGGTTCTGTATCTTTTTGGGCACAGGGTGTCAGATGTGCCAGGAGCATCACGTTGGGGGTCTCGTGGGTGTGACTGGAAGAGCAGATGCCTACAGTCACCCAGTTGGCTCGGTTATGGAGGTAAATGGATTCACCTCTCCGGTTGACCTAGAGCAGAGAACAGGAAGAGGAGTTTTCTGATAAAGCGCATAATCCTGACATTACCTAACTGAGCAGTGTAGGAAATAAAGTAGAAATGAACTACATGATGCATTTGTTCACTTACTTGTTCATGTGAGTTCTTGGAGATATCACAGGAAAAGGCAGACACAATCCCTGACTTGTGGTGGTCTCCCAGGGAAGTTGAATGTTAAACAACTATGTCACTAATTACTGTTGCAAGAAGTGTTACCGAGTACAAGTTCATGGTGTTGTGCTGTGGTGCACGTAATGGGAGACTTAACTTAGAGGGGAACATAGGCAGTGGTGTGCTGGTAAATGTGTAATAACTGTTTCTCAGAAGGTACACACACATACGTTTATCATAAATTTTACTGATATGGAAGATGAGTAGCACACAATTTACACATAATGATGTACAATAATCTGCATTTTAAATTCCATTCAGCCAATTAATTCTCACAAAAGTATTCACTGACCTTTGCCAAGAGCATAACCTCAAGAGCATAGATAATAGTAAAATGTAGTGAAATAACAAGAATGATGAGTTTTGAGTATTTGTTGCCTTTGTTTTATAATTGAATAAGTTCATACAACTTAATTTTTAATAATGGCTCTGTTTAACAACCTACTTGAATACTTCCTAAACTTTTACCAACCAGCCAGTTCCGAACACCCTGGACACAAGGTCAGAGACATCTCCCTGAGGAAGGGACCTCTAGCCGAGACCTGAACAATGTGGGAGATAAACTGGCTGGGTGGACAGGAGAACTTTCCAGGCCGAGGAACGACATGTGCAAAAACCCCATAACCCAAGAGTCTCAGCCAGTAAAATCTCTGCGAGCTGGAAGAGGAGGAGACTGGAAGGTGGGTAGACAGAGATGTAACAGAAGCCCGAGAGGCTCCAAGCAACACTTGGTTTCTCAGCTATACAGAACTGGTTCAAAATCAATCAATCAATCAATCAATCACTTAAAAAATGAATATACTCAGAAAGAGGTTGCAGCCCGCACTATTGATTATCTACCCAATGCCATGCCCCTCTCTTCTTGATTAACAGAACTCTGGTTTTTCCTGGTACCCATCCTACAAGGATGGTGCCCCAATCCAGGGGTTAAATTCCAATGGACTGAAACCAGTCATGGTGACTCCACCCCCTTGCCAATGATTGTTTTCAGCAAGGGCATGTGACCTAGGCTTGGCCAATGAGACACTAGTGGGAACCTCCTGGTGGCTCTGGGAAAGGATTCTGAGCCCTCATAAAGAGTTGTAAGGATGACACGCATCTCTTTTGTTGCTGGCAGCTGTCACTGCCCTATTTGCATGTGATATCCTGGGGGCAGCCTAACTTGAGGGCAACAGAGCAAAAAGAAAAAAAACTGGGTCCATGAGTGAGCTGATGCCCTATGGCTCTTGCATTCTCTTTGAGATAATTATTCATTTCAATTAAACTTGAGTCAGGAACCTTAGTAACTCACTGCTAAAGACATACTAACCATGAGAGGTGGTGAATGTTTACCCAAATATGTAGGATATGGGGCCATGTCTGGTCTAGCATGCCAATGATTTCCCAGAGTATTCATTAGAGTATGCAAAGGTTATTGAAAAGTGTACAGGAAGAAGTGTGAAAAATAAAATAAAAAAGATTATTAGTGGGAAAGAAGCATGTAGAAAGTAAAGTACATAAAATTATGACTTATCACATGTGTTTTGGGGCATCACTTAAACAGTAGTGTTCTTAGTGGTGTCACCTGCTGCCTACGGTGTTCTAAAGGTGAAATGGTTTCCCTAGTAGCCAGGAGCCAGTGCAGAGAACATGTTTATGGAAGGTGAAGAAGTGTCTGTGGTCTTCTCTGTCACCTCTTTGTGGAATCAGCTGAGGAGCTGCTTGAATAGGTTTCGTGTTAGACATGATTGTGGCATTTCTGTGAAGTTAAGGGGTATGGCCCACACAATTGAACTCATTTCCCCATTTCTTTGTCTGAATATTTTAATGCTGAGTGTTCAGAGGAAAGTTAGAACTGCTCTCAAATGCACGAAATGTAGTTTCATTCATACTGTAGGTACATTTTTATGAAAAGGAAACTTTTCTCTGCGACACAATTTGACAATTATGTTTTACCTTCAGAACTAAGAGCCAAAATTTCATTTTAAACCCTAGTTGAATGATAGATGTTATTCTTTAAAATGTTTTCTAAGTTTAAGAAAGGAGTTATCTGAATGCTTTCTTGTGGCAAGATAGTCTAAAAAATGACTATAATCTCTTCGAGTAATTCTGTAGAGTTAGGATTAAAATTCCTAGGTTAGAGTTAGGGAAATTTGAAATGAATTTTCTTTTAACATTATAATTATTCTGATTGTTTTAAGTTTCAAAACTGTTCCCTTTAATTGTATCACACAGCCCCTTGCCACATTTAAAACAATTCTCCTCCCAACTTTTTCAGACATCTTTGAGAAGGTTAATGACTGAAGTTATTATACATAATTCAGGGCTCAAATACTTACCTGGATAAAATTGCTCTCTAACATGGGAGGAGATACAAAAGGGGCATACTCTCCTCCATCCAACATATTGTGAAGATCTCCTGGACCATGGGAGGATGGGATGCAGATGGCACCTTGCTCACTGATCCTTGTGGCAGACTTCCTGTTGTTCTTCTTCATTGTGCTTATGCGCAGACATCAGAAAATCAAGGAAGTTGAAATACAATGAACAGATACAGAGAAAATTTAATATAACATTTAAGTAGCCTCACTTATTCATTCATTCAACAGATTTTATCAGCATCTATGATATGCTAGGCATTGCACTGGGCACTGAAGATACATCTGAACAGGACTGATAACGATCTCTGCCCTCATGCAGCTCACAGTCTATGGGGAAATAGAGAGTAAGCAAGTTAAAAAAAAAAGATGTTGGATGGAAAGGGCTGCAAAGACTTTAGAACAGATACATGGAATAAAAAGTGCCTGGGGGTGGGGCTGGCAACGCTAATTTAATCAGGGTGGTTAGGAACAGCTTCTCTAGAAGGCCTCACAACATATGCCCCATGTCCCCCAAACCACTATTTTATCTTCCTAATTAACGGTACCACTACCCTTTCCTTCATGGAGGGTTCTCTAGTTCTTTTCTGTAAGTAGGGTTTCAAAACTATACTAAAGTGAGAAGATTTTTTCCTACTCATTCACCCATGACTGAAGCTTAGTTCTTGGTTTGGAGGTATATAGTTGACATCAGTCAAATCAATGACAGTATCCATCTCCTGCTCTCTACCAGGAAACTGCTTGGAAAGACAACAATGGCTCTACATCGTTGAATTTCACCTTTCATCTAACAGAAATCACAGAATCCTAAGAAGGGAACGAGACTGCAGAATGTAATTCTGTTCAAATGTTCAAAAGATCGCCCTTCCCTCTTCACAAACTCCATGCCAGTGAGAGGAAGAGTCCTTAACTGACAAGCAGTAGCTCCTATATGTATATTTCCACCTCGGTCCTGTCTCAGAAACTCTTTTATCCCCCAGAGACCACCACTGCCTGACATCCTATGAGCATATGATGGCATGGTGAGCGTGGGAATTCTCCATCAGACCTTCCGTTGGTGGCAACTCAATGAATGCCTCCCTTTAGTGGATCTTATCATGAATATATGGAAAGTAAAATGAGTCAATGACAGCAAGAAACTAAAGTAGTCCAGAGAAGCCAAAATGTAATCGGAATGAGACAAACAAACAAACAAACAAACAAACCGAAAACCAAAAAACAAAACAAAAAAACCCCCCAGCATTCAGGGGGAAAAAAAAAAGAAAAAGAAAAAAAAAAAGAGAAAGATAATATAACAACAATCATCTAAAACAGAGAGGATGGAAAATAATAAACAGAATTTAGTGTTTTTTATGTGGCAGGCAAAAAAGGCTTTACATACCCTATCTCATTGAATTCCGATAACTTTATGAAGTAGCATTATTACGATGTTCATTTTATATGCCATACAAATAAGGCTTGGTGAGAGAAAGTAAATTACCCAAGGTCACACAGCTTTCAAGTCCCCACACCAGGAATCATAGTCTGAGCAGAGGAACTTACGTCATTGCTCAAGGTTCAATCTTGCCTTGAGTGCTTGGAAAGATGGATGCGAGTTGCCAGGTGAGAGGGGTCAGGTCAGGTCAGGTCAGGATGGATGGGAAAGAGGATAAAACGGGGAGAACCAAAGAACACAGAGGTGTCCTTCTCCTTCTTCTTTCTATTCCCATCCTTTCCTGAACAATTTAGTTCTAAATCCACTTGCTGGACAAAGAGAGGCAGGAATCTGTAGTGGGAGGAGCGGGGAGCCACGACTCAGAACCCAAGGGAGGCAAGAGGGCATCTATTGCCCGGAGAGGGGGGTGCAGCCCAGTGTAAGAAATCATGGTGAGAAGAGCATTCATACCAGAGAGAGGATGGTGGAAGAGATGGGTAATCAGTTACATACAGGGGAATTGATCTAATAAATTAGAAGACCATGAGACTCTATATTGATATAAATAAATGAATAGATTAAAAGTTTGATGAAAATAATATTTATATAGTTGAAACTATTTCCCACCAACATATTTACTAATTTCAAAGGGAGAAAAAGTAATTTTACAATGAAGAAGCCAGGCAGACACCTCTTAATGAAGTGATTAGTGAACACTCTCAGTAATGGGACAAATCAAAATAGTGCACCACTATATAGGACGCAATAGGAAACACAGAGCATCCTTCTGTGACAGATCTGCCAACGATGCATGACCTGAATCCAATCATTGGGAAACATCAGACAGATCTAAATTGAGGGACATTCTACAAAATAATTGGCTTTTGATCTTAAAAAATGTCAGTGTAATGAAAGTCAAAGAAAGACTACGACACTGTCCCAGCTAAAGGAGACTAAAGAGACATAACTACTAAATGCAGTGTGTGACTCTGAACTGGATTCTCTAGCTATGCAGACCATTATTGGGACAACTGGCAGACTTTTAATGGGGTATCACGATTAGATGGTGGCAATATGCAACATTCATGTCCTGATTTTGATGGTTATATTTTGGCTGTGTAGAAGTCCTTGATTGTAGGAAAAACAAACTAAAGTTTTTGGGGGTAATAAGGCATCAAGTTGGAAAATTACTCTCAGAAGAGTCAGGAAATATTTCTGTAAATTTGTGATTGTTTAAACAAATTAATGGGAATAATAATACAAGGAAAGAATAAAAGAAGTTACAGAGGAGAGGATGGGGAAGGGAAGATGGACAAATTCTGAAGTTCAGGCCATGAGTACAAAAGGCCATATTTAGTCACTTCAGGTTTCCAAGGAGAGAGCTTTTCAACAGCAGTGGAAGAATTTTCATAGTGATTGGATGGTCAGAAAAAACATATATTAGCTTCTTGTCATGTATATAGTCTCTTCTCCATAACTTAGCCAGTAGGACATGTACTCCCATCATCACTCAGTGGCTGAGAGACAACGAAGCTGCCTTAGAGGACCAGAGGACACAGCAAGTGCCCAAAATGTCAAGTGGATCCAAATATATGAGGATCTTCTGGAATACAACAAGAAATCATTAGAAAAGGGCATGTTTTTGACGCACATGGTGTAACGGAGGAAGAAAAGCAAAGGTCAGCAACATTTTGGGTCAGGGTTACAAGCACTATCACAGCAGCTGTTCCCCCTTCATTTTCCAGAACAGCTGTGATTTCTCACACTTTGGTCCCTCTCAGCTCAGACTGTCCTATCGGCTCATGTGTCCCCTCCTGAGATCTAGAAAAGCCGATCACTGTTAACAGCATCTTTGGTGCACTGAGTTCCCAGAAGGGGGAAAGGGGAAAAGAAAGCCTGGAAAGTGAAGTAAGTAGAACAGGAAGGGAGAGAGGAAGGAAGAAGAGAAACAAGAAGGAGAGGGTGGGTGGCACAGCCCACAGTCTCTCCCGGATGCTCTCTCACGGCTTACCTCGGTTCACGGCCAAGCCGCAGTCCTCTCTTGGAGACAATGTTTTTAACTCACTTCAGTTTGGGTTTCCTCCTTTTCATGATGAAGTCTTTTGTGAAAGAAACAAAAATAGAAAATAAAATATATACGAAGGAAGAAAATTTCAGTACTAATCCTTGCTCTTATTTCAAATGTGAGGTCCATGCCTTAAGAAGAGTTCTTCTGGCTAAACTAGGTGGGTGAATTGGTCAGAGACCCGCAGTCTGTATGTGAGCTGAGCTGTTGTCTTTGATCTTAATCACGATTGTTTGGTGAGTGGAACCAGACGGTTACGAGTCCATAGCTCATAGCTGACCTGAAATTGCCAAACAGTGAAATCCTGGGCACCTACAGCCAACAAGGATATTTGATCATGTGACACAGGAAGTAATGTAGACTCAAATAATCTTTGTGCAATGGAGGATCATAAGAAGCGTTGAGAATTATTTTCTTTCTGTACGTAAGCCAGAGTAGCCTAAACCAGTGGTCCCAACCTTTTTGGGACCAGGGACCAGTGCTCCTATGAGAATCTAATGCCTGATGATCTGAGGTGGAGCTGAGGCCATGATGCTAGTGCTGGGAAGCGGCTGCTAATACAGATGAAGATTCCCTGGTTAGCCTGCTGCTCACCTCCTGCTGTGCCGCCTGGGTCCTAATAGCCCAGGGGTTGGGGACCCCTGAACAACTTTCTAATTTCCCAGCTGGCAGTTGTATGTATGTATGTACTTACATATGTTTATGCTCACTATTCTGTCACTTGTGCATAGTTCTCACGTCATATTGTGATTACAGTCGCCATAGACAATTCTTTCTCCTCTCCATAAAATTCTGACTTAAACAACCCCTTCAAGAATACTTGGACCAGGTGGACTACAACTATAGTTCCTATTGGAAAACTCAAATGACGTAAAGCCAGCATGGAAACCGGTACAGTGGGAATATAATGGATTCTGCAATCAGACACATCCAGGTTTATGTCTGGTCTCTATCATCTGCTACTTTTTGACCTTGGACTATGTTACTAACATCTCTGAGCTCAAGTTCCTCATCTATAAAATGAGGATAAAACTACCCAACTCAATGCAATGTTGGGATGACTGAATGCACGGATGCACAGAAAGCACTGAGCATTGTGGCTGTCACATAGTGAGCACCTAAAGGTGCCTATATTGGTCTCTCACTCATGACCCTGTGTCAAAAAGTATAATCTACCTATCACTTGCTGAACTGGGTTCCCTCTTGATCACTGCTAGTTTCATATTTCCCAAATTTCATCCATTCTAAGAAACACGTTTTTCCTCTGCTTAACAACCTGAAATGGAATGTGCCTTGTGATCACTCTCCACTAGGGGACAATCATCATTTGGCTGCACATGCATGAACTTAATCATGTTCATATTAAATTATGTGCATCCACTTGTACTACATGGGTTAAATTTAATTACTATTTAAAATGTGTTTCTAATGAGTACCTGAAAAACCTTTGAGACCTTCTGGTTAGATTAAGAAAATTCTAGGACAAAACTTTCAGAATGTATGTTGGAGGCTTGGAAGCAGGTCCCAGAGACTAGAGTGGAGCATGTTTTAAAGAAATGCACAGAAGATGACAGATAGATGTTGTGTGGAAAAATTCTAGTAATAAGAAAGCGTCGAATTATGTAATTAGTAGCATTTTTT